ATACATAAACAGAATAAGTTTATTCCCATTGGATAAGTTTTATTTGTTTCTTGTTTTTTTTATTTATTTGTAGCAACTGCCAGTGATAGTGACAGCGACGTTGAAGATGGTGCTGGTACAGATATACGAGAAATGCAACATGTCAGTTTTGATTATATATTCATTATAATACATCTCATGCCTCATTATTTTTTTTGTCTTTTAATCTATACAGAAAAATTCATCTGGTTTTAATGATTTTGCTGTTCGACGTATAAAACATGCACCATATGGTCGACGTGAAATTGAAATTGCTGAACAAGGTTTGTTATATTCTTTTATTATTGGTTAGAATATTTCTATTCATCAAAACCTTTTAATTCTCATAGAAAGAATGCTATTTATCAAAAAAAAAATATCATTATTCTTTATATTGATGAAAAATGCATTCTTTTTTCTTTGACATGTCAAATTTTACTTATGTGTGATGCATAGATTTTGAGAGCGGAGAAGACAAAAAAGAAGTCAAGACTTTGAAAGTTTTTTCATCTGATATAATATAATCAATAGAATGAAACGTTTTAATGACCTCCGTAGAAAAAAAAATATCTTGAAAATATTCAAGTAAAAATAAAAATTTTGTTTTTTTTTCTTCTTCTATTTATAGAAATGCCTGGTCTTATGGCATTACGTCGTCGAGCTGAAGGTGATAAACCATTACAAGGAGCTAAAATTGTTGGTTGTACTCATATAACTGCTCAAACAGCTGTAAGTATTGATTTCATTGTTTAATTTTTTTTTTGTTTAATATTAATTTATTGAATTTTAATTAAAAAACACAACAAGGTTTTAATTGAAACATTAATTCGTTTGGGAGCACAAGCACGATGGTGTGCTTGTAATATATTTTCTACTCAAGTAAATTTTATTTAAATAAATCATTTTTTATTAAAATAAACTTGTTGAATATTTTATATATATATATATACATAGAATGAAGTTGCTGCTGCACTTGCTGAAGCATCAATTCCAATATTTGCATGGAAAGGTGAAAATGATGATGATTTTTGGTGGTGTATTAAAAAAGCAATTGGTGGCGATCAAGGTTGGCAACCAAATATGATATTAGATGATGGAGGAGATTTAACACATTTTTGTCATAAACATTATACAACATTATTTTCAACAATAAAAGGTATTGTTGAAGAATCTGTTACTGGTGTTCATCGTTTATATCAAATGTGCCGTACACAAACATTAACTGTACCAGCCATGAATGTAAATGATAGTGTTACAAAAACAAAATTCGACAATTTATATTTATGTCGAGAATCAATTATTGATGCTATTAAACGTTGCACTGATATTATGTTTGGTGGAAAACAAGTTGTTATTTGTGGATATGGTTTGTTTGTTTTTAATTACTTTAGATAATAAGAAGAGATTCTTTTTTGCAAAGAAATTATTCTTTTGTTTCGTTTAATTATATAGTAAGAAATCAATCGTACTTTATAAAATGATGATTGTATTGAGAAGAACATGTTTCTGAAGTTCGGAAGTGATTTTAAAAGTTATCATTTTCGAATTCAACAAAAGCAAAAGTTTTTAAAACTTTGTCCGACTATGGCATCTAGTTAGTACTAAATAACTACAAATTTTGAGGTGTACAGTAGAGTCGATCGAGTTTAAAAATTTTCGACCCAATGGACTCTAGTCTACAGCTTTTATTATAAATGAAAATCTGTTACGAGAAATTCCCATCTGATTGTGATACGTTATTCACGTTTTTTTCTTTGTCTACAAAGTTTACGTCTTAAAATATTTGTCGTTATATAACAAAGTAGATTTTCAAATTGAAAGAACAAAATTTTTGTAAATTCTTTTGCTGTCTATGATGAATGTAATTTTTTAAAAGTGTAATAAACAAAGGACTAAATTCTTTTTTTATCATTAGTAGATGATAGATATGTGTCATTCTGAGTTAATTCAGTCATAATGAACTAATGTTAATATTCATTTATCATTCTTATTGACTTGTGCAGAAAAGGAAATGTGTTTTTTTGTGAAAGAAAAAATTGTCGAGCCTGTTATTTGTTATTCAAAAAGCCCTTGAGAATAGTATTTGATTTGCTATTTTTACATATTGAATTTTTACCAACCCTTTGAGGACGGGTAACATATATATGCGTCACCCATTCTAAAAGGGTTAAGATCTCTAGATGTCAATTTTCTGTCTAATACTGCTGTGGACTTTCGAGACGTATTACATACATACTCGTCACCAGTCTCGAAAGGTAAAAAACTTGATTGAACACAAATAATTAATTATTTCTAAAGATTTCCTCTTTCACTATTTTGCTTTCAAAAAAAATAATCCCGTTCTCAAAGGATTAAATTAAAATTCAAAAAATTGTTCACAATAGTTTTGTTACAGATTCTCATTGATAGTAAGAGCGATGAATCTTAAACTTTGTAGTTATTTAGTTCTAACTATCGACTGATTTTTATTTGATATGATAAACAATAGAAAAATTCTAAGACTGTAGTCAATGAGTTTCTCGGGCTCTAAATCAATTGAATTATTTTGTGTTAGTATGTTAAATAAGAGAATTCAATAAAAATAAAGAGATAATAAAATATTTTTTGTACGAACATACAAAAGAAATCGATTGACACTGTCTGACAACGTTTGATAAGCATTGAGCAATATCTGTTATCAAGATGTATATATATATATATATATATTACAGTTTGTCTATGATAGGAGTCAATTACTTGTTTATTTTTGTTATTAGGTGAAGTTGGTAAAGGATGTTGTTCAGCATTGCGGGGTATGGGCTGTTTTGTTTATGTAACAGAAGTCGATCCCATATGTGCATTACAAGCATGGTATGTCAATCAATAAATTTAAACTAAATATTTTTCTTTTCTTTGATTTATTAGTATGGAAGGATATAAAGTTGTTCGTCTTGAAGAAGTTATTAAACAAGTTGATATTGTTGTTACAGCATCTGGAAGTAAAAGTACTATAACAAGAGAGTCATTAGATAAACTTAAAAATGGTGCCATTGTTTGTAATATGGGACATTCAAATACAGAAATTGATGTTGTATGTATTTTAAATACTTAGAAAATAATTTATCAGTATGTTTTACTAAATGTTGTTGTTTTCTTTTTTACAAGAGCTTTCTACGTGATTTATCATCAAGTGATTTACAAGTCGAACGTGTTCGAACAAATGTTGACCATGTTATTTGGCCTAATGGTAAACGTATCGTACTACTTGCTGAGGTAGAAATGATAATTTATTTTTATTTTTTCAAGAATAATGATTCGATTTCGATTTTTCAATTAATTTTAGGGTCGAATTATGAATTTATGTTGTTCAAGTGTACCATCATTTGTTGTTTCAATTACAGCTGCTACACAAGTATAATAAAAAAAAAATAATAATCTATCAGTATTTATAATAAAACGAAAACAAAAAATACATATTTTTTTAGGCATTAGCTTTGATTGAACTTTATAATGCTCCACCAAATCGATATAAATGTGATGTTTATTTATTACCAAAAAAAATGGGTATAATTTTTTCTTTTTTTTTTATATGATTTTCTATTGATTCATTAAATCATTTTTTTTCTTTAGATGAGTATGTAGCAAGTCTTCATTTGCCCGCATTCGATGCTCATTTAACAGAATTAACTGATGAACAGTGCAAATATTTAGGTATTAATAAAGCTGGACCATTTAAGCCAAATTATTACAGGTTTGAATAATATAATATTTATTATAAATTTTATTATGTTGTTTTCTTTTTTCTTTTTTCTATAGGTATTAAATGGCTTCTATCTTCCATCCATCAACATTTTGGCAGTAATTCGATCTCTCTTTTTATTTGTTCTTTTTATTCGATTTCAATTAAGATTTTATTTGTGTGTTTGTCAGGATGTTTTTTTCCTTTTTTTCATTTACAAAAAAAAAAGACATATTTCCTTTATCTCTGTTTTTCTCTTTACCTGTGTGTATGTGTGACTGTAGATTAATTGCATTCATTAGACAAGAAAAAAATGGTACTATTGAGCATATTGAAAAAATTACGTCGAAAAGAAAAAGAAATGCGTTTATTACTTGTTGGACTTGATAATGCAGGAAAATCGACTATTTTATCGAGAATTAATGGTGAAGAAATTGATTCTGTTGCACCAACACTTGGTTTTAATATAAAAACCTTTAATTATGCTGATTATGTACTTAATGTTTGGGATGTCGGTAGGTTGAGAGATATCTTAATATATTTATTGTTTTAGATAAGTTGATATATTCGTTGTAATTTAACATGATATAGACAATCTGATTTCTTTTTTCTAATCTTGATAATTGAATGTTGCAGAATATTTGTATTCGGACAAGATTGTTTATATATTGGGAAATATATTCTCACTTCTTCGTTCTAATGAATTTTCATTCATCAATGATTAGTTGGATATCAATTATGTTTGAAATAGAGTCTTTCATTAGATTTGAATAAATAACAAATAACAATTTCATACAAAAACTTATACAGAATTTGCAAATGTTATTTAATGTAAAAGAAAAAGTGTACATATATATATATTTATTTTCGAGTATCGATTGCAGAAGAAAAATTTTTGAATAGAGTTCTAAATTCAATACGGAACTTTACTTTGTATAATAGCATAAGAATAAAGTCCAAGATTATCTTTATGGTTTGTTTTGTTTTGTTTTATAGATTATTGAAAATATTCATAAATATATTTTGATATTTATTTTTAGGCGGTCAAAAATCTCTTCGATCATATTGGCGTAATTATTTTGAAGCGACTGAAGCAATTATTTGGGTTGTTGATAGTGTCGATAAAATGCGATTAGGTGAATGTCGTTCTGAGCTTCATGATTTACTTAAAGAAGAACGTTTAATGGGTTCATCACTTCTTGTATTTGCTAATAAACAAGATATTGGTGGTGCATGTTCATTACAAGAAATTCGCACATTATTAGAACTCGATTCAATTCATAAACATCATTGGACAGTTATGCCATGTTCAGCATTAACTGGTCAAAATCTTTTAGAAGGTATTGATTGGCTTGTTAATGATGTTGCTCAACGAATTTTTGATCCTGATTAAAAAATCCTACATATATATATGTTTTTTTCTTTATTATATATTCATATATATCTGTGATTGATCTTATTGAAAATGAATTTAGAAAATCTTTTTCTTTTTATGAAATAAAATATGCCTGTAACAAAGACTATTGATATTCTGATTAATTTATGAAATTTCTAGTTGACAGAACTAGAAGATCAATCAGGATTTACTTTGTAAGCAAAAAAAGAAAAGATTCAATAGAAGATTAATAGGCTTTTTTTTGTCTATGTTTATGAAAGTGTTATCAATTGAATACGTGTTTAGATGAACAATTCAAAAAAATTTAGTTGATAAATTTCCTTTTAAATATTATCTAATATTAGACTTCGAAGCAATAAACAACTAGAAACATAATAGAGAAAAAAAACAAGCAAGCTTTGCTAATGATCTTGTCCTTGATTCTTAATGTGTATTAAAGTCTGTCGGGAAATTATCAACTGAATTATTAAACTCTCATTAGATAATCTCTTTGAAGAAAAAAAAAGATATATAAAGCAATAGAATAATTGTAATAGATATAATCGATTTCTCAAGATACTGTTGAAAATAAAACTAAAACTTATTATATAATAGAAATGTATCTTATCTTTTGTTTTTTTTTCCTTTATGAGAATTGAATAGACAAAAAAACAAAGAAGGAAATCATTCGATTGATATTAATGTTCTAAGTTGTTCATAATAAAAAGAAAACTAAAAGAGTTAACCATATGTTGTAAACAATCAAAATAAATATTTGCTATTGAGTAAGCTGATTATGTTGTGACATAAGTCAATGATAAACAAAAGCATATTGCACATATCAATAGAAATATTTTTACTGTTTTCGCTCATTTTAATAAAGTAATTTTATTATTACGATCAAGAAAAACTCTCAAGAATATTATGTAATCATTTTCTTCCATTTTTTTTAAAAATTAATATTAATGAATACTTACATGAAGCTGTTTAAATGTCGATAAAGAGCGACAAAGAAGAAAGACAAAGAAAATTTGTAGACTGACATTGAAAAATAAACAAATTATAGTAAATATACTCTTCCATTTCTTTCTTTTTCTCTTTTTTTTTTTTGTATTCTATCATTACAATCGAAAAAAAAGCATTAAATCATTACTAATTCAGTATGTTGCTACATCATTATAGTCTTTATAAACATTAAATTGTTTTTCTTTTCCTCAATGTGTATATCTGAATGATGACTTTCGATCACTGTTTTGATTTCTAAGCTTAAATTTATAATGATCATCAGTTATAAGTATCATGCTGAGTACTCAAACTGATCAATCTTTCTTCTCATTTTGATATGCATACACATATGCCGGTAGTTCGTTAGTTAGTTAGAAGATAGTGCATAAAGAAGAAGAAGAAGGGAGAGAGAGAATAGTAGCAGTTGCGATATTTCTTTTCTATTGATGTTGATCGAGTACAACTGCCTTCTCTCTCTCTCTTGTGGAAACATCGATTTAGTTATTTCTTTCCCAAACGGGCGGAGTTTTGCTTTATATCATTTTCTTTCTTTTTTACATTTGTCTCTTATCGTATCTTCATATTCATTGACACTTCGGTTTTGCATTGCATGTTGACACCCGTGTCGTTATTCTTTAGCTAATAGCATCGTTCCGATCATCAATCGACATCTTTCAAGGTAATCGTGTCAATTTTCTTTCGCTCGAATGACAAGAATAAGACTAGAATCTCGTCACATCTGTATATGATTTGTTATCTAAAACTTTAATTACCATCTTTAATTTATCAAACATAAATAGTCAATGATCGTTCATTATAAAAGAGAAAAAAAGAAGAGGTATTTTCTCTAATTTTCTTAGTTGGATATATCTATACTGCTCTATATTGTAAAGTATGTTATAACTGACAAAATGTCACACATGAGGATTGTATCAATATGTGTGTGCCAGTGGGCATCATCACTACTGGTTTTGTATGTGCACCAAGGTTGAGCTTCTCCTTTTTTTTTTCTAATGTTGATATACTTCCACGAACGCAAAAGACAGATACAGATCATCATTGCTTGTTTACACATAGCTACGTCATAAAAGAAATAAAAAAGGAGAGAGAGAAGCCTATAATGAACAGTGAATGCGCTGAATGATGGATGGATAAATGGATAGAATGCTACTGCCACTGGTATTCGTCAGAGTCGATTAACAAAACCCGTTGTAGTTACTTTAGTACATGTCACTCTTCATTTCCTAGCATGTAGATATTGTATAATCAATGAGACGTCGACTGAACAAGTAACCACATGTGTTCAATCGGCTAGTTTACTATCTCAGATTACTACTATCGTTTTTTTCCTAGACTATACTGTGCTTTTCTGACTCGTTTTTTTTTATTGTTGATAATGACTTGATGTTCTTTCTTTCTCCCACTTGATCTTCGTGCTTTTGGGGATGATAAAAAAAAAAAAGAAAAATTGTTGTTTGCTCATATATCATAACAACATGATCCTCCTGTTCTCATCACTGGTACATTACCAGATGGTGTCTTTTTTTTCTTGTTAATTGGCTTTTTTCATTGCACATACATACTTGTACATCAACTATATCCATCACTGTCTTATTTACACTATCCTATCAATTATAAAAACTATTCGTTAATTAGAAAAAGAAAAGCTTTTTATGCCAATCTATTGTCTTGATCAGATTGATTTTCTCTAACAAAATTCATTTGTAGAAATGATTTTTGAAGATTAGCTTTATTTTTTTATGTTCTTAATGAAGAGCTCATATAGACAATATATAGATGATCTACGTATCTCCTTCGTAAAAGAAGAAAAAAGAAAACAATAATAACAGTCGTTCGTCGTACTTGAGGAAAGGCGTTAATGACGTCTTGGTAGAAGAAGTGGCGCTTAGTGGATAAACATACATACATAACAACAACATTAGTACTAGTAGTAGCATCATCCTCAATATGCAACTGATTATCTGTATAACTATAAAAAAGAAGAAGAAGACAAAGGAGAAAGAATATGAGAGTATCACATAGAAGACATTAAGGTGATTGATAGTAGTAAATTTTTTAAGGTGCGTATAAATGCGCGTTTTACAGCTCTTTACATATTTCCACTCGACAGTGACGAGAAAGAGAGAGAGAGAGAGAGAAAGGAAAAGAGAAGAAGCAGAAGAAGAAAAGAAAATAGGGAACGTGGCGTCGATTTAGTATGCCTATATGTACGATCGTGTCGTTATTGTTTCATAATCGTTATAAGTGGTGAAGTGAAGCTTTTTCACTCACTCGATTAAATGAATGTATGTATGTGTATGTATTGGTACCGTACAAAAGAGCAATAGCGAGAGAAAGAGAAAAAGAAGAAGAGAATTGAGTGAGTGTCACGAAACGACAAGCTAATCGAAAATTGAATTATTTTGTTTTTTAGACAAACAATAATACCAATAATGAATCGTAGTCTTGTCCTCTTCAGTAAGTTTTTATATCAATATGTTTTTAAAAAAAAAAACGAACCAAATTTTGAATTTACTTTTTTCTTTTTTCATTCAGTTATCTTTACCATTCTTACAATTGTTCATAGTGATAAAGAAGAACAATTTATTCAAACAGGTATTCATCAAATTTAAAAGAAATACAAAACAAAAAAAATACCAATCCGCGATCTATTTCATACATTTAGATAATCATATTTTATCATCATCATCATCATCATCATTATGTAATATCAATCGACAAGGTTTTGGTCAATTAGAACATGTACAAATAACATCTTATTCAATAAATATTCGATTTAAAAATCTATATTCTAATTTAAAATGTTCATCAATTTATATACATGCATTCATAACAAATACACATACAAATCAACTTGATCGAACAATTGAAGTAAACCAAAAAGAAAAATTTTACATTGTCTTTTATTTTCTTTTTCTTCATTTTTGTTTTATAGAATATTCAAACAAATACTATTTCTATTAATCGTTTACTTCCCAATCATAATTATTCATTAACTATAAAAATTTTTGATGAAAAATATATGCGTATTTTACCTACACATATTTTTCAAACACTTGAATCATCAAATCCAAATAGTAAAAACAAAAAAAATAAAGTTTTTGTACATTAAACAATTTATTTATTTTTATTTTTTTAAGCTCTAACTTTATCCAATGATGATCTATTAACAATTGAACAAATTGAATCTTTTATTTTTCCTCATACACATCTTTATATTGTTACAGTACCAAATCATATTCGTCGTTCAACTATTCTCGGAAATATTACATTATCATATAAAATAGATGGTAAATTCAATTTTTGTTTTTGATTTCATATTAAATAATTAATTTATATATACATAGAAAAACAATATAAATATCATCATATTGTCAAGCCATTAGATAATAATGTTATTTCTCGTATTGGTAGAATGACAACAAAAACAATTGTATTTTCTATTGAATTACCAGATGAAAATAATACTTCTATTGAATATACAAGTATAATTCAATTATTTTATTTAAATGATCAACGACAATCAATTATTGATCATCCTATTATGATAAAATATCCTCAACCAATAACAGTTGAATTTTTATCATTATCAACTCGAACAATACGTGTATTCATACGTAATTTATGTTTATCTTATATTGAAGTTAAAGCAATTATTCATAAAGATTTAGTAAATATTATTATTATTTTTATTGTTGACATTTTTCTTGTTTTGGGTTTTTTTTTAGAATATTATTTCACGTAGTCAATGTGATATCAGTAAAAAAGATATTTCATTTTATGATATAGCTAATGGAGATTGTTTAATTATATTTGATAAACTTCAACCTGAAGAAAATTATACATTATCAATACGTGCAACATGTCCAATTACAACATCATCATCATTATCATTTGTTTTTTATGATCGACCTCGATTTTTTTCATTTCAAACAACAAGTGGTTTACCAGATAATTTTCCATTAATTTTGTCATTTTATAATAATAATAGAACATTATCATGGATAAATCCATCAATAAATATGTCTTATCTTGGTCCGGAATATTATTATGAATTATTTACAAAGTAAATTGATGTTTTTCTGTTTTATTTAAAGATTTCTCTAAATAATTGTCTATTTGTATCAGTAGAAAATCTTATAAAAGGTTTGTAATTCATTTCCGTCATGTATTCATTCATTCATTGTTATGCAAGACCGGATATGTTCTTCTTTTTTTTAGAGAGACTATTGTTGACCTATACGAAAAATAGGGAATCCTTCTAGCAATTATTTTATGTAACTTTGGATTCATGAGAGGATATGTCATTTGTATTTAATTAAAAAAAGAAGTACTAGAGAGTATGTTACAAAAATCTCAATCAAGAGATGTATACGTCTAGATATAGACAACCGCTAACGTAATAAAAATGTAAAACATGATGATGTTACGTTTATTATAGATGAAAAATCTTAACGTACTGTCAACATACGAGAAGTTTTAATAATAATGTCATGGTACATAGAGAAAAGGGCATTGTTACATATTATCCTTAGTAATATTTTATTACTTATCACAAATGGAAATACTTGAAAGAAGTTCTTGATGTTTTCTATAGAGAATAGAATATATCATAGGTTGTTGTTTTTTGTTTAGATTAAATGATAACTGGACATTAGTCTATCGAGGAAATAATACTCAATATCAATTAAAATCAAAATCAAAATTAATTGAAAAAAGTAATTTAACATTTCGACTTTATGTTGGTAATCGATATGGACGACAAGAAAATAATTATTCACAATTGGATATTAATATTGATCGTTAGTTAATTTACATAAATAAATTAATAATTTTCTTCTTTTGTTTTATTTTTAGCTATTTATCATTCAAATTCAAATAATCAAATAGTGTTTATTATAATTTTAATTTCATTTATATTTCTTATTGTTATTGGTTTTCTATTTTTTTCATGCTATGGTAAGAAAATAAAATCTTTATGTTTTTTTTTTGAATTGATTTTCTCCTTTCTTTTATTTTAGTACGTAATAAAAAACTTTATGGAAAATTAAAAAGAAAATATAGTCAAAATGGTAATATATCTGATAAAGAATTAGATCATTTACGATCATTAACATATTGTAGTAC